TCTTCTTCTCCTCCTTCTCCTCCTTCTCCTCCTTCTCCTCCTTCTCCTTCCCCTTCCCCTTCCCCTTCCCCCCCCTCCTCCTCCTCCTCCTAGGGAAGGGTCTACAGGGTGTTCAGCATTTCACTACTACATCAGACTAATAGTTGAGTGAAATTAGCTACATTCAGAAAGTACAGTATCTCCTTATGAGAAAATACATAAAATAATAACTAAAATAAAAGAGATACAATGAAAAACGAAGAGATGGAATGCTGGAAGTGGGGAAGTTGTCAAGAGGGATGGAGGAAGGAAGGGAGAGGGCCACTAGTGATGGAAATTGATAAAGAGATGACACATGTGTGGACTAACTGCTCTCAGTGTACCCCATTGTTACGTGATACTAACACGTCCTAATAAAATATTTTAAAAAAGAAAGTCAAGCTGTGCTTTCCATTTCCAAATTCCTGGCCTCTTTTGATGCTGCTTAAAACTGTATCTTACAATTTTTCTCTGTCATTTTTAACTTGCAATATCTCTGTTTGTTTGTTATTAACTTCCATGCAAAGATATACTTCAAATATTTTATTTGAAATGTCAATCACCAGAGCTCACAATATATGATATTGGGGACAAGAGATTTTACGTTCATATATTTGTATATAATTTGGACTTCTATGAGCACTACCATAGTGGAGACTGTAGAAATCTTTTCATGCATTTCTTAAGCGTACGAAGGGTGTGGTTCTTGTTTTTCCAGGTATGTGAGTTGCTGAAGCAAGAAATTTAAATTATCCAAATGATATTAATTGAAAAGTGTCAATGTTGTTACAAGGTCTGTGTGCTTGGACTTGTATAAACCAATAATTCAGCTCCTTCAGTGCAAATTCATAATAACTATGATTATGCCAGCAGCAGAATGCAGCCCTGACAGTTTTCCAGGATGCACGATATTCGTGAACTACAACTCAAATCTAAAGCATTTGTCTTCTCTAATAAAAGCAGTTCAAGGCTAATGCTTCTAATCATCTTCGTTAGTGATACTTTAAATATATTTTATACTGTGCTAACTTACTGGCTATTTGACAGTAAGGGACAATAGAGTATTGTGGATGGATGGGATTCAGAATTATGAACAAGAGATTTCTGTATTTGAATAACTGCAGAATAACAATGAAAGAATTCAAAACATTATATTTTAAATTAATTTTATTGAGAAAGAAATAGCAATGAGACAGTTTCAAAGCAGGTTAGTAGGATAGTTATAATAATTAATAGACTGCATATTGTTCTCTTCGTAGTAGTTATTCATAGTACAAGATGCGGACATGATATTTTGTTTATACTCTTAGTTCAAATATTTCTTCTCATTGAGCTAAGAGAAAGTAGCTATATATCTATCCTAACAAAAAAAAAAAAATATATATATATATATATATATATATATATATATATATATATATATGCACTACAAAATGGTCCTTCATTTATATCTCCCACCCTTTATTTTGAGGATTTTCCATTGGCTCGTGTTCTTGGACTAGGACAGAGTAGTGAGGAAAGCAACTTTCTACTTGTCCTTACGGGCTTTCTAATCAATGAACGAGGTGGCAGATGGAAACCATTTCTATGTGAATGGATGATTGTATGTAATGCTACAGTGAAGTGGGCAGGCTGCTGTACTGTCTTGCTGAGAGTGCTGCGTACAGGGCAACTGACACGACTTGGATGGGCCGGCCGCGCCTGGCTGGATGGAACTGAGAAATCTGGAACCTTTATGTGGCCAAACCTCACGGCCCCTTCAGCAGCATTTCCGCACTGAGGCCCTTTCCCCAGAGGAATAATTTGGGGGTAAACTAAGTATTTTAACTACGAAACAATGCTTTGTTTGTATTACCAGGATACTGGAAGTAGTTTAATTATCTAAAAATACAGAGTTAAATTTATTATGCTATAAAAAGTTATCAAATACCCAAAAGTCCTATTTAAAAGTAAAGCACATGTTGTCATACAAGCTGGTTGGTGAAAAAACTGTAGAATATAGAACAGTAAGCACTGTTCTGTGAAGATGCTCTGCCTTCTCCCAGACCTACCTTTTCTAGTTACTCAGTTTCTCTTATTTGATTTCCAATTTATCAATAATAATAGCACCAGTAGTAGTTGCTAATTGTGGCCATCCCTTAGCACCTCCAACCCAGTGCTAACCATTCTATCCAAAGTTTCAGTTGATTTTATATAAAAAGTGAAATAGGTACTATTAAATTGATTTCTTTTTGTGTTTGGAAATTTTTATATGGCTAAGTACAGACATTTATTCCCTTATGCCTCAAAGAGAAGTTCAATGTTCATGCGGTTTTCCGTGGATTTCTTTACTGCATTTTACCTAAGTGAAATCATTCTTGTTGACAGCGTTTTGTGAAGAAGGCTGCAGATACGGTGGAACATGCGTGGCTCCTAACACATGTGCCTGTCCATCTGGATTCACGGGAAGCCGCTGCGAGAAAGGTAACCCAGCCTGTTCTTTCCAGGGTGTGCAGAACGATGTGCAGCCACGTGGAAAGGATGGAGTTTCTAGGCAGAAACACACGCTTTGTGGTAGGCAGTGTGTCCTGGTGGTGTGGCTCTCACAGAAGATGCTTTTGTTACTCCACAGTAGGCTTCTGAGCCCTGACGGTAGAGCTCCCCTTGCCCTCCTTTCAATGCATGTAATTTAACAAAGTCAAGTCTTTCCTCTGCTATAATTGCACTGTGCCTTTTAAGTCTAATTAGAGATAAAACCCAATGATCTGACCTGCCCCACTTATCACCAACTGCATAGCATCATATGCGCCTATTAGAGTTATAATAATCTGCTGCATCAACAGAATCTAAATTAGTAACACACGCTCCTTGCATTAAAGCATATTAAATAACTCTAGCAGCAGGTTTATTTGCTTGCTTGGGATTTTATTCTAATGCTGGTTTATTAGGAACATTATCATTCATGGACCTGATAGTATAAGCCAATTAGTATTAGTAAAATTTCACGATATGTATCTTGCAATTCGCTAAATGTGTTGTTTACATTTGGCACTGTTTACTGAAAACTTTCGTTCTTGCTGATTGGAAAAGTCTGATCTTTGTTCAAATGAAATCTGATATCCATGTCAAGGTAGATGAAGTGCAAGCCAAGGGCTTGTGGGCATGTGAGAGCAAGTGCTCAAATTTGCTTTCCCACGTTCTGTATTCGCACTAAGTCATGGCATTTGTGTGTGTGTGTGTGTGTGTGTGTGTGTGAGTGTGTGTGTGTGTGAGTGTGTGTGTTTGTATGTCAAACTTGATGCTTCTAAAGGCATAGAAAATCAAAACAGAATCCTGTATTGTTGTTACTATTACAGGTATTAAATTAAGGAGAGGTTATCTTTATCTGACATGGAATATGCAAGCAAAACTATTTTTTCATTCTCCTTGTGGTTAAAAGGTTCTGAATTTAGGTAATACTTTTTTTTTCAAAAAATCATCCTATTTATTATACTCCATCCTGACTGATACATCACGTTATAGGACCTAGGATATGTATTCTAACTCATTGTCACATAAATTATTCAACAAAGAAATCAGTGAATGATATCTGCATCATTGTTACCGTGTTTGGGGGTGTTATCAACAAACCAGATTATAAATATTAAGAATAATTATTGGTTCATTCTTTACAAAAAAGACATTAAAGTATCAAATAATGTGCCCAAGTAATATGAGAGACTTACCACTTGGATCTGAAGAATATTTACTCAAGGGGCCGCAGAGATAGCTCAGCAGTCTAAGCACCTTGCCTAGGCAAGCGCAGTGAGCCAAGTTCAATCTGCACTACTGCATGCCATGCCGGCCCCACTCCAGGCATGCTGTGCTAGCCACTGAAACCAGACATGGTGGCGAACACCTGTAATCCCAATCCTGGGGAGTCTGAAACAAGAGGATCACTATGAGTACAACCTGCATAGTGAGATCCTGTACCAAATACATAAAATTTTAAAATAATATTTACTGAGAGAAAAAAAAAAAGGCCACTTCACACATGCCCTACATGTAGAGCATTTGACCTTAATTGGTCTTTCTAATTAAATGAAAAAAAAATAAAGATTTGCTTTATCTTCTTTAGGTAGACTCTGATTGCCTAGACTGATCATACGGGAAGTAGTAATGACAGAAGGGTGGGGCTGGAAGTGGCAATGAAGATGGATTCTCATGGGCTGGAAAGTCATTTGTTGAGTACTATTTCCCATATTTTTAATACCAAGAGCAAAGGAAAGACACAGATTTTACTCCCATTTTATGGATGACAAACTAAAGCTTAAGTAGGTAATTAACTTCAGCAGTTATTAAGACCGAGAATTAAACTCAGGTTCCCTCACACAAATCCTTTATTCTTAAGGATTTATATATATTTTACATATATTTCTCTATTGCAAAGCATGGAACTCTGTTTAAAACCACTTTATCAGATTGAGTGAATCAGAATACTGGGGAGTTTGATTCACCCATCTGCATCTTCCACAGGCTTTTCAAGTAAGTGCAATATGTTATCGCAGCATCAGCGAGCTTATTATTTCTTTTGTATTATAATAACTGGGAGGGCTGGGGCACTGCTGTAGGCTGGGTCCTGTTGTCAGTGACAGCCCAGCAAAAATCAATTCTGGTTTCTTATGCCTTGTGCATCTGTCCTTTGTCCTTTTTCTACTCAATAAGTTTGTGATTGTATCAACACTTGCATACCGGTCTATAATGTGAACAGAAAACTATCAAGGAGAAAATCAAGGCCAGGAGTAGAAATAAATAGAGTCAGACAGCCTGAGGTTTTCTAAATAAATGTTAAGGTTAATACTTGCATATTCTTGAGTTGCAGGGTCATCAGAAGGGGAAAATTAAATAAGCCATTTTTGCATGTGGTGATTTCTTCATCTGTGTCAGAGTCATTCTAGTTTTTTCATGGAAAGGGTAAAGCACATATTTTAGCTGTGTGCAAGGAATCTAGATGCATGACAGGCAGATGAATTGGATTAGTGCTGTGCTGTGAGTCTTGGCTTCATGCTGATCATTAGTAAGAATATTGTCCCTTTGCCAGTGAATCAGAGTCATGTTAGATGCCTTGAGACTCAGAATACCAAGGAACCGTTGCCAATATAGTGAGAATATCTGTTGTTATAATGGTAGTAAATCTTCTGTTTGATTTGTTCTAATTTCAGGACTCTCAAAATGGGCTCATTGGAACTATATAGAATCATTTATAGGTAGTCTTAAATATATTCTCTTGACTATCCGTCTTACGGGTTTCACATGTTCCTTTTGATACTTGGCTGTTCAGGACTCAAGTGCACTTAGTTAACATCATCATTGCTTGTTAAAGAAAATATGCATCTAGAGAATAAAAATGTTAAACATCTCTCGTTTGTGCATGGAGCACAAGACGCTCAACACCTTCTTGTTCTCCATTCATTTCCATAACTCCACCAGGACTAAGCAAATTCTATTTCAGCAACCCTGGACAGCGTATTGCTTACTTCTGCTCTTTATTGTCTTTGCTCTTTCTCTGCACCTGGAGCTTTGAATTGGTTTCAGAGTTGACGTGGAGATATGTCAGGAATGAGATGAGTGAAGGATCCTAACTGCTGTCATTTAGAAAAAAAAAAAAAAACTGGAAGGGATGAATGTTTTCTTCTTAATCTCAAAAGCTAAGGCATAGGGTTCCATGCTGATGTCATGCAGAGGATCATAGAACAAAATGGAAAACCCATGAAATTCTCTAAGTGACTTTCCAAATGTAAAATCAATGAGCCAAGCGATTTTCCTCCAAAGTTTGAGTGAGACTGAATTTTCCAATGAGTATTGCTACCTGAAAATCTGCAAGCAACACCAAGTATACAGTAACAAGGTGTGCAGCTATTTCTATCCCAGAATTCCTCGTGCCTAGCATCATTCTGGAACAATGATTCCTTGGTGTGGAGAACTGGGTTGTGCCATGTAGGATATTTAGCAGTGTTGCTGGAATTTGTGTACCAAGTGCCATTAGCGCTCCACCTCCAGTCAGAAAAACCAAAAACATCTCCTGACATTGTCAAACATCTTCTGGTAGGAAAAATTGTTCTCACTGAGAAATCCTGGCTCTGATGTGACATTTTGTCTTTCTAAAAAGGAAGTATGCAACAGGTGAATGATAACTTCAGTGAATGTTTAAATTATTATTTTTTTAATTTAGTGGTGTAAAAGACAAATTTCATAGATTGACAGGATAAATGCATCTAAAGCAAAAAGGAAGACTTAAAATATTTAGAGGGGAATTGATGGTAATATATCTTTTACTGTAATAAATAGTCTTATTTAAACATTTACTGTAGTTTAAAAATTTGATTCTTGATGAAACATTTATGGCAATTTCTGTCAAAAAAAAGCATTATGATGTGACCGCATGTGCTTTATTCACTGGCTGTGGTACTATGTGACTTCAGCATCTTCACCAAAGGCAAAGGACTATGACAAGGAAATGTTCTCAGTAGACTCAGGACAGCAAGGCACAGTGCAATACAGAGATCAGGAAAGGGGACTTCCAAAGCTGCTTCAGAAAATGGCAATACTACTACTAATAATAACAGCAGTAATAATAATTATGAAAATGGCAAGAATAATAAGTGTGTTTGCAGTGAGGACTATTACCAGGAGCATTAACAGCACTCTTACTGTAATAATTTTTTTTCAATTTCAACTTGTGTATTTAAAGTACACAACAGAATCGCATATTTTAAAAAATAGTCCACACCACAACTTCTTCTTTTTTCACTTTTGATTTTTTAAAAGAAAATATAACATAGTAATAAAAAAGAAAATATTAGAAATGATACAGAATTTCATTAAAAATATGAATTTGAAGGCATTTGTTTTATTGCATAGCGTTGTCTTCAAATGAGTTGTTCAGATTGCTAGATATATACATGCAAAATTGGAAAAACAAAGATAGAAAGAAAAGTTATAAGGAATTAAGAAGAGAAAAGAAAGGAAAGGAAAGCATTATCTCAGCTTTTCTGCAGACCAGCAGAAATCCACAGTGCAATTATCCAGACCATCCTGCTTACATAAATAGATGTATCTCCCTGCCCTACTCCCTCTCCTGTCTAGTTACTCATCTCAGTAACTCCTTCCTTCTTCATAGTATCTTTTGAATCCTTCACGTTTAATTTCCTCTTTCAGTTTCTTACACTAAGGAGACAATTTGCTGTTTGTACTTACAGGTCTTATTTACTTCCCTATGGAATTCAGTGTGAGATTTCCTCAAAAAGCTAGGATTGGAGGTCCCATTCAAACCAGCTATTCCCCTCCTGAGTATTATTCCATAAGAAATGAAAACATCATGTCACAGTAATTTATGTGCACCCATATTTATAACAGCACAAATTGTCATAGCTAAATCGTGGAAGAAACCCAAATCATTATCAACTGTGAAATGGATAAAGAAAATGTGATATTTTACACAATGA